GCAATGCGAACCAAGCTCTTGCAATGGTTGTATACTGTATACAATAAACAACTGGGCTTCAAATTAACTACAGAGTTAGCAAGTTCATTAAGGTTAATGTGAGAATGAATGAGCTTCTGCTTACATTTATACATCTCCTACACTCAGATCTAAATAGGAATAGACAGAGGCCATCCTTGTCGCTTTGGGCTTTAAGAAACAAGGGCACCAGGGGTGCCAGGGATGACTGTGGTTCAACTGGATAGGTTCGATCCCTGGCTACTGCAGGTTGCATGGGGAAGACACTGAACCCAGAGTTGCATTCACTGGAGTGTAAATGTTTGATTAAAAGCACTTAGACATATAAAATGTGCTTGTATGAATATGTGTGAGTGTGTCTGTGTGTAAAGTTGTGATGACACGTGCTGTATAAAGTGCTCTCAGAGCTTAAGCGCAAGAGTGCTATACACGAGTGAGAGCCAGTCTATATACACTCCTGGTTCTTCATGTTCGTGCATTACAAAACCTGTAAAACAGATCTCACCAACTCAAACACAAACTCATCCTTGAAAGCCAAAGTTCAGAGCATCACAGCAGGACGACACACACTGAACCAGGACATGGCTTTTGTTTTTTTCTAACGACACACCTTAGACACACAGGTGTAGTCAGCATAAGTGAAGTGGAGTACAGTATTTACAATATTTGCAGTGCTAAACCATAAAGGACAATTTTCTTTCTCCAGCAAGAGCTAAAATTACGTTTTCATATTCACTATATTATTTCAACATTTACTTTAAATGACACTGTTTAAATTTTTTTTTTAAATCTACTTGCACGACGTTAGCTTGACCATACTGATTTCAAGCGCAGGAAATAGCCTGCAGCTTAGCAGTTTTCACAGTAAACAATATAAACTCAAAGTCCCACATAAGAATGAAACAGGCGCTAATAAATTTCTCATTGAGGAGTGCTTTGGTTTAGCCAGTGGTTAATAACGCATATACAGAGAGCAGCCAGCTGACCGCTCAGCTTACCTGTCATAAACGCTTCTCTCAGCTCTCCGCGGCTCTGCCGATTCCCAGGACCGTTCAGGGGCGACTACTGTTTTTTAAAGTGACCTGAAGTTTAGTCCAGTTGATTTATTAAGTACGAATGACAAAGGAAAGGGTCTGAAATTGTTTTGTAATTCAGACAGTTAAGTTTACTCTACATACTCCTTTCCTCCATGTTTTCCACGTAGCCACCCTGTGCGTAATGACGACATATGGGCGTTTACTACATCTTCTTCGTGTGTTCGTCTGGTTGGAAGCTATAGAACTGCTGCCCTCTATTTTTATAACTTCTCTATTTTACATTTTTTTAATAACTAGTGCATGTCCATGCTATCGCATTGTTTCGGCTGTTCGCAAACTAACAGCAAAATATATATTAATAACATAATATTAAAAAATAATAATAGTGGCAGTACATGTTGTTTATATGTTTTTTTTAAAAAAAATTTTTATTTTAGGCTATTGCTAGGTGATTTTAAGCATATATATTTAGAATTATGGGGTGTCCTGAGGCATCTTGGAAAATTGGCAGTCCGGTCAGCATCATGGTGAACGTGTTTGAATAAGGGGAAGCCAAGTTACACAACAGAACATATGCAGACACAGTAACAAGTCAATAATAGCATTCACTTCACTGGCTTAAATGTGGCTGATCAGTGTAGGGTATATTCCAATACTATAAAGATATTAAATGTTATTAACTATATTTTTTCTTTTTGAGCAATGTGTGACAAAGACAAACGTTTCCCAGCTGCTTCCATGTCTGGAGTAATTCTTGCACTGTACATGCAACACTGTTACTACTGGCAGTACACATAAATGTCAGGTCTAAATTTTTAGTTTATACCTACTTCCGTGTCAAGTTGCTAACATTCTTTCATATTTATTTTAATTATTTCAAAGTTATATGAACAAAACAGCTTTCTTAACAACTCAAATATGAAGAGAACACATTATTCAAAATGAAGAAAAAGCAGCAGAAGCACTTAAGAGGTCTTGTTTATTTTATTCATTATTTATGCTTAAAGTTTAACTTACAAAATCTATGTCCTTCAATACAATAAACAGCTGTATCAAATAATGATTAACAGAAAATATATCAACAAGATGGATGACAAAAATAAAAACAAGCTCCAAATAACAATTGGAAGGTTATAAAATCCAATTAATTCTAAGGTGATTTATAAGTTAATTTATAGTTTCTCTAGAAGAATTAAATATTTACATTGTTTCTGAAGCATTGAATATATTTTGAGGCGTCAGTCTGTCTTCTTATCCGTTGCTATTGTAGATCCATTAGCAGTGGCCTCGCCGTTGCTTTCAGGCTGAAAAACATGAGTGAAATTTTTTTTTAAAACTTCAAATCAAATAACTATGAAACTTATACGTTAAAAATGACACAACACAGAGACCCTTTGAGTGGCTCCTATTAGTTTTACTATCATTTTCGGATATATTCGCTCTATATACCAGAGCTGGGAAATATTTCCATAATTATTTTTAAGTTTCTTAATGAAAACATCACAAAAATTTTCCATTTACTTACCTTGCAAGTCCCATTACTCTTTTCACTAACTTTTTGGTCATTAGCACTGGTCTCCTGCACTGCCTTTTTGCTCCAGAATATATTAATAATGGGTGAAATAAAAGGATAGAGATAAGGCTCCAGGAACCTCTTGTAGACCCACAAGAGGACAGGAATCACAATACAGGGAATGCACACCATAGCTGGTAAAAATGGAAAAACCTACAACAGAGAAAAAATATTGTGAGTTGTAAAAAAAAATACATAGTAAGTTTATGGTTGGTTGTTGAGATATTGCTACAAGGTTCCTGTAGAATGATTTACTAACATTTCATGAATTTATTAACATTTATACAATAATTAAAAAACAAACAAACAAACAAACAAACAAACAAAAACGACAAAAACAAAAACCCCACATCAAACAATCCAACATGCACTTTAAAACACGAAAATAAAGCAAAAAACATATTGGTTGAAATGACAGAAATGTGTACATAATTTGAAAAGTAACAGAATCTTGCTTTATAAATAGGTTACACAAATTTAAAAAAGAAATTTATGGCATATTTACAACAATTACTGCCTACGTTAATTTTAAACTCTTCTGGTCTATATACGTTAAAAATGACTGTACTGAGACGTTTATTATTTTGTTTGTTTTATTTATTCTGGCAGCTTGGGTCCTCCACACCGAGCGACCTGTCAGCCATACTGACGTTTACAAAGCTAACCTGAGCTACCTTAGTTAACGGTGGAAGGAAGCTTTCTTTCACACGACTACACAAATTACTCTGTTCGTGATTTTTGTTGTTGTGTGCTGTAAATTGTTTTTCGATCATTTTTTAACTTGACACAGTTGACACACTATTGGTTTCATGCTCTCTAAGCTCAAATAAAACAGTGAGCTAAAGCTAGCGTCATATCACACCCGGTAGCTTGTTATGAAAAACTGTCACCAAAGTTCAGACAGGAAAATAAAAAGATTTGAACTGTTACACGAGGAAAAAAGAATAAAGACTCTCACCTCTCCCAATCACAAAATGATGTTGTCACGCACTACCGATGGGCAGAGTATGTTTTATGGCGAAATATCTGGAATGTTGCTGACGTAAGACGTACTTTAATCCAACTTCCGTAGAAGAAGAGCGACAGGCGGAAGTTGTTCATCACCGGGCGCCTTTCTTCAAAAACAATCACAAGAACTGCTGCGTAACAGCTTTATAAGAGACACGAAGGTAGTTACAGTTTTTCTGGGGAGAATATTTTAAATACATTAATGTATAGGAGAATCTAGATAGTACAAATGTAAATTATATTACCGTTAATTTGTGTTTTACGTCGTTTTAAACTCCAAGCGAGCCACAGTAAAAAAAAAAAAAAGCTTACAAGCTTAGTACTTCAGTAAAAGCAAAGTGACAGTTCGGTGTGTGTGTGTGTGTTGTAGAATCGACACAAATCACTTTGGCGCATTTACATTCTGTCCGATTTAGAATATAAAAGATACGCCATTCAACAAAGTTTTACCTTCATGCGCATGTGATGTATGATTGGAGCGGCTAATTTGATGTGTTTACCTTTACAGGGACCTCACAGCGGGTATCTGTGCGCCTTTTTTCAGCGCTAAAATGCCTCTCTCCACTCAGTCGCAAGGTGATGACGAACAGTACGTTTTAGTGGCGAATTTGGACAATGCTCGTAATCTCTCCAACATCCTGAAAGCAATCGCCTTCAAAGATCACGCCATCTTCACAGCTACAACCAATGGCCTTAAGGTCACAGTGGAGGACTCGAAATGTCTGCAGGCCAATGCCTTCATCCAGGTGTGTTTCTCTTGTATTTTGTCAGTGAACACACTTAAATGAGCAGGTATGTTTACTTTGTGTTTAATCCTATAATACTGATACCTTAGTGAAGTTGTACTCATGTCTCCCAGGCTGAGATCTTCCAAGAGTTCACCATAAAAGAAGATCTGGTGGCTTTTCAGATCAACCTCACTGTTCTCCTTGATTGCCTCAATATATTTGGTGGAACCACAACACCAGGTAAAATTCATAAAAATAAACGAATTAAAAAAAAACCCACCTGAGATGGGACTCAACATGCTTTTTATCTGTTTTTTGTGATGCTGCAGGTGTATCAACAGCTTTGCGGATGTGCTACAGGGGGTATGGGTACCCTCTGACGTTGTTCCTGGAGGAAGGTGGTGTAGTGACCGTGTGCAAGATTAACACGCAAGAACCAGAAGAACCCATTGACTTTGAGTTCTGCAGCACTAATGTCACGAACAAGGTTAATTTCACTTTTTCTGTTATTAAAACTGGAATATTAAATATATTAAATATACAAAAAAAATCAGATGGGAAACAATAAACCAATGCAAACGAATCCATTCAGAAATTACAGTTTCTCTGGTTTCCTTACTTTACAAATCCAATGGGCATAACACTATTTGCAGGTGTTAGAAAAACAGGAAACACAACTCAGTAACAACTGATGTATCCCTGGCTCTTTTGTAGGTGATCTTGCAGTCAGAGAGTTTGAAGGAAGCCTTCTCTGAACTGGACATGACGAGTGAAGTGCTACAGATTACCATGTCCCCCAGCCAACCATACTTCAGGTGTGCTGTCCTTACTGTACTTTTTCTACAGTGTCGTGCTGGTTTATGATTACGTTGCTGACCTTAAAAAAAAATCACTGTGTTTAAAATGACTGTAAAGTCCTTTACACACCAAGAGCATTGGGGGGGGGGGAAACAGATGAAATTCAGAATTTAGTACACAACATATGTAAACACTGAAATGGTAGAAACAGAGACTCTAGGTTCAGAGCAACAGGGAGAATTTTGCGGTTTCATTCAGAAGTTGAAGCTGAATCACGACCGCTTATGTATGTACATCTTTCCAGATGTCATTAGGGTAGTTTGAATTCTTGTGGGCAGAGTTAGGATCACATCTGAGGGGGCAGAGTAGTCATTTTGTAGAACTGATTGTGTTTCTGTATTGAAATTGTGTTGTTTACTTTTGCTGCATCACCAGTTTTCAGTACCGGTGTGTGTTTTAAGCTACAAGTAGACTTTTGCTACCAAATGCAGTGGTTTGATTGGCAGATCTCTTTATTCTCGTTCTGAAAATTGAAAAATATCGGAGTCCGAAAAACATTTTCAACGCACAAAATCTTCAAATTAATTCTTTTTATAAGTCTGGTGTGTAAAGCTCTTAAAAGAAAAATCACTGACGATATCCACTGGGAAAAGTATTTGGGATTAGACATAATCCACTTCTGGGAAACTAAGTCTTCTTAACGTTAAAGTTGAGGCATGTTTTATGCTGGATTGTATCGATCTGATTGAAGCTAACACTAAATATAATGTATAGCTAAGCTAAAGGTAGGCACAGTGACTTTCTTCAAGGATTTGTTGTAACAAAATAATCTTTTTCCTGTCATTCATTATCAGTGTGCTGAGGTAGTTTGCAGTCTAACTTTGTCCCCTCTGCATTATTTTTGAAAGTGCTGCTCTTTTTACCTTTCATTTATATTATTATTATTTGATTTGTTGATTTTCTAAGGTTGTCAACGTTTGGGAATGCTGGAAATGCTCATTATGATTACTCGAAAGACTCTGACATGATGGAGCTGTTTAAGTGCACCGAGACACAAACGAACAGGTTAGCACACGAACACATGCGCAGATTATTTAGACTGTAGAGAACACAAACTAGCCATAGATGGACTGGGAGGACAGGAAGCACCAACACAGCGACTAAAACCAAATGTCATACACAGTAGAGAATGACATAGCAGAAAATGTGTGATCTTTATCTCGCTGTAAAGTCAGTCACGACTGTCTGTGACTGACTTTACTCTCATTTTCAGTCTTGACCCTTTTACATGCCTGTTCACGCATGGTTGCCAGGCAGATAAGTCTGATCATAATGTGAAAAAGTTGAAGATGTTGACATGAATAAGTCCAAATATTAAAAAGTTATAACCAAATATACACATCTTTCCTTTGAGAGTCATAAAATTAGTATATCTGTTCAGTCACTGTGTCAAATATACCCTTGGACAACAAAGTTGATCAGATTCTCCAGCATCAGTCGGGTAATGCCAACAAACTAGACTGTAAATGATGACCTCCAGCAATGGTAGAAGTCATTTTTAATGAAACATAAGAAATGCTGGAATATATTTGTATTAAACTGTTGTTTAGTATTTTATCTTCTTTAAATCTAGTTTGTTTTATTTGATTGTAATTCTGAGCATTTTGTGGCTTATGTTTTGGGAAACTAATAATAACCAAAGGGCAGTGATAATATTTTTTATTATTAACAAACTAAGCTTTGAAAATATTGACACTCACTTGTGTGCACACACTAATAACTAGTGCCAGTGTCCTTAACCTAAGTATGAACTCGGATAGGTATACACTCACCTTGTAGGCACTCTAGAAATTCCTGGAATTGGAAATACTTCACTCAAGTAGACTCCCATGGTTTGACCTTGTGTTGTATACTTGTGTGCAAACTGTAATTGCCAGCATGGCTCCTAACCAGAGGTCTGGCCACAGGACGTTGCAGCACCTGCATGCAGGTGTTTAGGATTATAATCATTTCCCCGGTGACTCTTCGTCCCCTTTACATCTCCTTAAAAGCAGACTTGTTATAACTTATGTAATAGAGCTTGTTGACTGGATACATTTGACTTGTAACTGAATAAAAAGCACAGAAAAATAATGACATTTACAACTGCAACTGGATATGCTGACACTGATGAGTCAGCACTCCTGGATCCAGTGTTAAGTGTTTTCTTGGTCTTTCTATCGTATCATGTTAAAAATCTCTGCAAGAGAAATAGTTTAGGCATAGTTTCAGCATATCCCCGTGTAATGCTTTGTTTGTATTCTGTCTGCAAACAGATACAAGATGTCCCTCCTGAAGCCGTCCACCAAAGCCTTGGCTTTGTCCTGTAAAGTCTCCGTCAGGACAGACAACCGGGGCTTCCTCTCTCTGCAGTACCTGGTCAGGAACGACGACGGACAGATCTGCTTCGTAGAATATTACTGCTGTCCCGATGAGGAGGTGGAAGAGAACTGAGAACACCAGATTCAAATCTGACTTGTAATAAGCACCTTAACTACACACCGGAGTCCAGTTTGCCAGAGGAGGCAGGTATGGAGAAAATGCCGGACTTGTAATGGGCACAGTGGAGTAAACAGAAAATGAACTGATTCATCATTTGCCAGATTTGAGAGAAACAGATGTTGTGCTTGTGATTTGCTGCTGATGTTCTTATGCTCTCTATGATTACGCCACACGTCATAATCGTAGCTCGATGTGCTGCAGGAGTATACAGAGGCATGTTCGATGTGTGTTCAAGTACTCTATTGATTACTATGGTGACTCAGCTGTTTTCAGTCATAAGTCTCACAATTTGTGAATGTTACTCCTGAATTTGAGTCTACTTGTTAAATGCAGCTCTCTTTATATTTGCATATCAGAGCTCGTCTTTTGACATATGCTTCCAGATGGCTGACAGCCTGTAAAACAGGACACATTAGACCCAGCTCACTGAGCTAAAACAACTAGACAGTGATCTAAAACAACTCCTATTCTACCTATTTTGAATAGGTGTGATTTCTCTTAAGCTGTGGACACACTTCCTCCAAGTCTATGCTGACACTATTCCAAAAGCCTTTTATGGAGTATACATCACAGGATACAGAGATCAAGTTGGTATTTTATTTCTATGACATAGAAAAGAGTTTTTACTCCAACTCAATAAACATTACATCAAGAAAAACTTGTTTATCAGAAAAAGAAGAAAGGAGTTCATAAACTGGGGCAACAAAACATGATGCATATTTTCCCAAGGACTGTTTCTAACACTGTACTTGAGTCCTGACTGTGTGGTGACATTCCCATATTTTTACTGAATAATGGCAGCAGCATTCACTCAGCTTATTGCAGTCCATCCAGTTACCTGCGTGCCATCTGCATCCTTTGTCTTTTGAAAGCTTTTTGTTTTTTCTTCACCACTTTCGTCTCAGGTGCTTCCGTCTGAATGTCAGCGGGCTTTTCCTCAGCCGGTGTCAGGAAGACATCCGCTGTAACGTCACTTTCCAGGTCCTCCTTCGCAGACGTCTTCTTTCCTTTCTGCATCTCCTTTACCATCTGCTTCTCTCGCACTTTGGCTGCCGCTGCCAGTCGCATCTCTCTCCGGTGCTGCAGGAGCATACAGAGAGATGTTCGATGTAAGAACATTAGTATATCAGGAACATTAATTGTAACTTCAGCTATCGTGCAATGGATTTTTACCATGTTAGGAGAACGGAAGTCTGGGTTTTCATAGAGCGTAGGCCCCCCAAAGCTCCCCTGAAAGATCTTCATGAGGTTAAGAACAAAGCGAGGCCCAATCTCCACTAGAGAGCCATCTTCCTCAATGATCTGAACACAGCCAGAGGAAAATAAGAAATATTTCATTCGGAATCTGCTCAAGCCAGGGATAAAATATCAAATGAAATTTAGAAAAGTATGGCGGAAGAGTACCTGGTAGTTTCGAAACCAAATCCTGTTGTCTGCAATGGTGAAGGTGAAAACATGGTCCACAAAAGGCTGACTCTTAGGATGGTAGCGTGGGGTGGAAAAGGTCTACAACAGAAAAAATGAATGAGTTCAGTCAGAAAATAAAATTTGTTCAACTCTTCAAGAAAAAAATGTTTAAAAAAAAAAATCACATCTGCTCCATTCTTACAGTAAAAACATGATATGTAATCGGACTTTAGACTGAAAGTGTCAAAAACTGCAATCAGTTTACATTCATGCTGTCCTGGAAACGCACCTGGATGAAGAGCTCTTTCAGTAAAGCATAGTGAGGCTCCTTATCGAATTTCTGTTGAAGAAAATAAAGAGTAAAAATAAAAACTTCAGCTCTTGCTCAGGCGTTTTTTCTTAAATTCAACTTAAACACAAAAAAACTTTCACTATTCAGATCACAGGCCGAGAATTTTATATCAGAGCGAAGACATTGTGCAGAGTTTTGTGACGCTATTTGTAGGGATGGGAATTGAGAACCAGTTTATGTAGAAAACCGATTCCTTGGAATTGTTATTCTGCCTTTCTAGATCGCTCTTATTGGTTCCTGCACGGTTCACCTGTCTGAGGAGGAAAATGGCGACGCAGTCTGGAGCGTGGATATGGACACTTACTTTTATTGCACAAAAGACTGAGATAAATGGTTAAGTGGAAAACTGGACAGAAATAACTGCATTATGCTGCTAACACAACTTCAGCACTTGTGTGGTCTGCTTTGTATTCTCCAAGAGAAAGATCTTAGTGTTCTCATTGGGGACTTGTGTTAGTGTGTGGGGTTGTAGCCTCAGGTTTATATTGTTAAATAGTGTGTTTCAGCTAAGTTATAGAGTAACATGAAAGTAATGTAACGAGTACTGTAAGGAATTATTTTTCCAGGGAGTAATTAAGTAACGTGTTCTGTGTAATATGTCTAACATGTTCTGTGTAACCTGCACAAACATTTAACCCACAGCATGCAGTTAATTTGCATGAAGGTAATTTCTATATTGCTTCTTAGCAACTGTGGTGACTTTCAAAACGGACCCAATGACAATCGATAAGTAATCGAATCGATAAATGATATTGATCTTGGAATCGCTAAATTCTTACCAATTCCCATCCCTATTTCCTTGACTACACTAAACCATAAATATCTGATGTGGTGTTGATGAGACTCATAGTGCAACAAATTCGGAATAAAGACATACTGATTATAAACTAACAGCAAGTCTAATTTATTACTCCCGGCTTTATGACCCAGTTCTACTCACAGGATCAAACGAGAGCAGCGGCCTGGATCCTTTGAGGCAGTTTCCTGTCAGTTTGAGTTCGGCCAGTGTGTGAACTGTCAAAGAGGAGGGGCAATGCAATTATTTTTCCCAACGTATAACAAATGATTGCTGCATTTGAGGGCTTTAGTGGCGAAATAACTTACTGTTCTGGACTAGGAACTTTGCAGAAGGGCCATGGGGGCTGTTTGAAATCCTACAGGACAAGAACATGATTGAACTTAGTTCAGATTGGCTCTCCTATGAGTCTGATGTACACGAGATGTAATACCAATGAAATTCTCACCACATGTAGAGGTCCTGCTTCTTCTTGGCCTCAAAATAGAGGCACTTGTTGCAGTTTTTGATCTCACAAACCTGCCAAACAAATGACTTTATTCTCCTGGATGCTTTATATATGTTATGTAAGAGTAAACTAAGATGTTAAACAGCAAACTTACCTCGTTTATGACAAACAGCTTATCCTTTCTGTCCATTTTTGTGTCTAGGCACAAGATTTGTGGGTTAGTAAGGTAAGACAGATAACACAGGTGTTTGTGTGAAGCAATGCTGTAGGTCAGTGCTACATGACACTAACCTGCCTTTGCATGAGGCATCATGGTCCTCAGGTCCTGCATCAGGTGTCTGGTTCTGAAGTTGATCCCTCTGGAGGAGAAAATCAGAACTCTTTCCTTGTTGGTCCATTTGCCCTGTTAAAAACAGTTTAGCTCAGAACATTGAACTAAAACAAATACCAGTTTGCAATTTCAGTCTTAAAATGCAACAAAACAAAGAAACAGCGTTCTTCTACTACGGTTCAGAACAGATATGGGTCTGCCCGGGAGTTTCTCCCTGTCTGTGGAAGGCTGTTGGTCCATTGTTTACCTCAGCTGTCAATTCTAGGTAAGAGGGATCCACATTTATTCAATCTGGAAGAGACCGTCAAACTTTGTGGAAGTAGTACCGGTCAGTGACCTTTGACCTCCATACTGAGGTGAGTTATTGAGGATATGCTGAACCTTTCTGTTGGTAAAAGCTGCTGTTTTGATGCTTTGTGAATAAACCCTCCGATGTAAGCAAACTGCTTATTACAGCAAAACCTTTTTGGGACACTGAGTCTACTTTATAGCCAAGTGCTGTTGTTGTTTAGCCAGTGACTATGAGTAACAGCAACAACATCAGGAACAAATTAGCATGTTGTTTCCATGTACAAAAGCACTGGTTTGAGGTGAGGATAACGAGGATGACGTTTTCTTAAAATGCTGGTGAGCTTCTCTCTTTTCCTTTGCATTTTTGTTTCTTTGATGAAGGGGACCCCTTCTCCACAACTATAAAACACAAGCATAATCCTTCAAGTCTTGAGTCTGAAGACGAAGGCACGAATTTAAATTAGCCTCATAGTTCGAGTTCTACGAGTTCTCTTCCTTTGGTGTTTTACACATGTAGCCAAGCTTCAGCCTCACATGTAAAATGCGAGTAGGTGGAAATGTCCTTCCCGGCCACTGTATTTAAATAAGCTGGGGGAACATGGCCGCCGCCAAAAAAAAAAAATCACGAGCCATTTATGTATTTTCAATTTGTTGAAAGGAACGTAATAACACACTATCATATTTTTGAGCACAACATTCTTTCTTTTTACTATTAATTAGCCTTAAATACCGACTGTACGTTTAAGAAGGCAGTTTGGTTCATATCTGTGTCGATATCAGATTGGGAATGTTATGATATAACGAATTCCTCTATCTGATGCTACACACTGAGTAGGTTATAGATAAGTAAGTAAAGTAGCGCGTAGTTGGTAAACTGAAGTTGGCTCACCAGCTAAAATAGTTCAGTGGACAATAACACGCTATAACTCTGACCTGAGAGATCGGTGCTGGCACCGTGATCTCATGTTCCTTCTCTCTTCCCACTTCCTCTAGGCCTTTGCCTTCATCTGGTACTAGTTTTCCTTTTTTCGGCTTGAAATCAACGGAATCCTGGCCGGCACGTTTTCTCTTGAACGGCGACATGTTTGCACGCACACGGAAGTCTCCTAAAACTTATCCGAAGAAAAAAAATATATAACATAAAACAAAAGTTAGACTGACCTCTAGTGTCCTGGAGATGGTACCCCAACGTCTTTTTTGGATGGAGGCTCTAGAAGAAAGAAAGAAAGATCCCCTTTTTCAACCCTGGCATTGGAAAAAAATTATTCATTTATTCGTTCATTTATGTAACTCCTGCCTGCCATAGAGACAGGAGTGGCATGATGCCAATTCCTGCCTCCACCTGCCTGCCTAACCCATTCTATGGCTGTGTCCCAATTCAGGGTCTGCACGCTTGAAGTACGCGCACTACGCATACTACGTACGGTAAGTACTAGAAGTACGAGAAGTGCGGAAGTGAGAGGCTTGTGTGAAATGGGACGGTCGCGCTGTACAGGTTGCCTAGCAACCATGATACTAACCGCGAGACACGTTACATACAGCATTGTTTGACAGAAATGAAGGAGAAAAATGTTTTGTTGGTCATTCATTTTTGTCATGACATCACTTTGATTAGTTGAGTATCTGAGGCTGAGACCACAGGACTGTAAAACATGATAGTTGGGCTTCATTTCTGTGCTGAACAGTCATGTAAGATTAGTTAGTAAATAACAATTAGTTAATGTTGTTCATGAGACTAAAATCATCTCACTGTGGTAATGTAAATATAATATGGCC